CTGCTGAATGCCACATGCTGATGGTCTCACTCCAGAATTAAAACATCTGGTTCCACTCCAAGGAGGGATGAGGTCTGTAGGAAGGAAGTTCCTTGCCCCAGAATCAGGTGTACACCCATGGGCTTAACCCACACCAGCAGTAAATGTCAACAAGCACCAAAAGGGAAGAGTTCCTGAGAACTTGAACACTTCTGTGAGACACACATCATCATCCACAGTCAGAATGAGTTTGCAGACAGCAAATTTGCTTTCACATCTGTTAATGTGGGAGTTGGGGATGGCACAGGACAAAAAGAGACCAAACACTCAAGTAATCAGAATAGTTAACTCAGAAATTATTTCCTTGGGAGGAGGAGTGTGAGGTGGAGAGGCTTTAATTACTCTCAAGGCAGGAAATCCACCCATGGTATTGCCTAGGCAATATCACAAATATCTACCCAGAATGAAGAAATCATGTTAATGAAATAATTGTGCCTGTAATTATCCATATTGTAATTATTTTGGTTGTGGCCTCGAAGCTTCAATCAGTGGTAGCAGTTGGGCTCTGTGCCACAGCTGCCAGCCAGGCCAACCCCCACGTGGCCTGGAATTAGGGCAGGCAAAGAAGCTTTGATCCTTCCAAGTCTGTTCTCAAGCTCAGCCTTCCCAGGGTGGTAATTCAGCCAACAAGTGAAGGTTTTGGGGGGCTACACCCCATTTACCAAGCCCTACACATCTTCTCTCCTGGTCTGGGGGGGTTTGTTCCCTACATGTTTTCTCCTGGTTTGGGGTGGGTTTGTTACTTTGAGGCACGTTAAGAGAACATGAGATGAAATGCAGTGGATGGGGGAAGTGATAGGTTGGAAAGGTCTGTCTTTAATCAGATGTCACCATGGAAGTGATGAAGAAGCAGAAAGGAAGAAGAATCTTTACTACCTAAGGTTTTAAGCTGAAGGGAGGTAAATTTAATTAGGTATTAGGAAGGAATTCTTCCCTGTGAGGTACTGAGGCACTGGCACAGGTTGCCCAGGGAGGTTGTGGACTCTCCATCCCTGGAGATGCTCAAGGCCAGGGTCGATGGGGCTTGGAGCAACCTGGGCTGGTGAAAGGTGTCCCTGCCCATGGCAGGGTGCAGTGAGATGAGCTTAAAGTCCCTCCCACCCCAAACCAGTCTGTGATTCCATGTTTTCTATCTATCTAGTCTTTCCCAGTACTTCAGAGAAGACCAAGCAATGAAAACATCAACTTACAAAATCCCAAGCTCCAGCTGCTCACTCCTCAAAGAGGGGATTGTCCAACTCAGCCCAAGGCCTTGCAGGCAGAGCTGAAGCAGTTGGGGAAGGACAAATCCAGACACAAACAATAAACCAGAACATTTCTCAGGGCAGTTCAAAGCTAATTTCAGCCCTTGGAGATTTCTGCCCTCACTCACCTCAAACTCTGCTGGGCACAGTTTTGGGACAAGAACTAATGAAGTCCACAGCAGCCAAGTCTAGTCCTGCTGGTGTCCCAGAAGGTTCTTCATCATCCAGACACCTGCAGATCCATTCCCTCTGTGGCTGAGCTGAGGTTCTCACTACCACACTAAGCTTTGCTGTGCTGCAATAGGTCAGAGCAGAGAGTTGAGTTTATTGCCCGAAAGGTCTCACTGAGACAGTTTATCCACCCTGAGGAGCTAAAGCTCTACTTCAGACCAGCCTTGAGGCCTCAGTATGTCCTTCAAAGGTCTCCCCATCCTTTCTTCTCCAGATCTTCACCTCAAGATATTTCTATATGCAAATAAGTTCAACTCTTATGAATTTTTATCAACAAGAAGTACCAGAACTGAAGTTGTAGTGTAGGCTAATAGCTGCTGTAATGGAAAAGTGCCACCAGCAGCCACCCACAGCTCAGCAGCCAGGCAGAGAGCCAGGAGGCTCCTGCAAAGGTCAAGAGCATCTCCTCAGAGCAACAAATTCACCTGTGCCCTTTGTAACGATTCTTCTCATCGGCCTTTCTAATTAGAGTCCTTAAACTGGGAGAAATAAATAGGTAAATCACATGTAATGCTGGAAGCAGAAACACCCAAAGCACTGGACAACGATAAAGGTAGAGCAAATTTACATCTAAATAAGTAGGGGTAGAAAATAACCTGCAAGGTAACAAAAATAAGCTGTGAGGAAGTTGCGGCAGAGATGCTGCTGATTGTCCTGGGCACACTGAGAGCCTTTCCAGTAAACACACATGTAAATGGAGCTGTTACAGTAAATCAGTTTGCATTTACATCCTGCTAACCATCCTCTCAGTCACCACACCTATGTCTGCGGCACAGTCCTGCTCAGGGATCTAAGACGGTTTTACACTGGTTAGAGCTGTGGGATAAAGATGTTCCTTGTATAGAGTAAAACGAAGCAAAGATGCTCAACACCAGCTAGAAAAAGCTTCCAACAAACCATTCCTAGGCTTAATTTTGGCAAAATAGCTGAAAAACTGTGTGTCAGGTGAATACAGCAGGGTTTTAGCAGTTTTACACCCAAGTGTTTGCTGCCTGTGCCATCTACTGGTGCAAAAAGCTCCTCCAACTCACACCCTCTTACTTCCTCCAGACCTACTGAACACACAGAGCTGCTCAAATCCAGACACAGCACTAGAAAATCCCAGGAATACCTTAGAACTCCAGGATTTTGGACAGCCAGCCCCAGCAGGGAATGGTTAAGGACAGCTCATAACCCAGCACAGCACGTGTGAGCAAACCCAACTCCTTTCTGCACAGCACAGCACAGAGCAGGTAAGAACAATGTGTTCCCCTGTGTGTCCTGGCTCCCTGCCTGGAACAGCTAATGACATCTTAAGGAACTGACTTCATGTCTTTTGAACGCTTTAGCAGACAAAGGTAAGG